AAACTCAAGTAATTATGTGAACAGACAGATTGTCTATGCCCATCGCTTCTAAGAATGTCACTACAATGTCTGCATATGGTAATTAATATAGTGTTATTGGTATATATTTAGAAAGAACAGGTATGACTAGTCTCTATCTCTACAAGTTTAAAATCTTTAGTTGAAAAGAAATTCCAGATAAATTAGAGACAAGGGTGGGTAAACAAGGAGAGATTATGCAGTGATTTCAGTTACACATATTTTGACTTAGTTATAGCAACAGAAAACTAGTACACTTCATGGACATTAATAATTTTTGTGATGACTAAAAAGAAAAGTCAATAAAGTTTTAAAGCAGTGAGGAATTCCACAAGAATCAAGGAGGGAGAAGATGATAAATAGGAATAAGGTTTGGAATGGGAGTATGAGTGGCTCATCATCCTCACACCCCCTCAATCATTCTGTGCCAATCTTGCTCCCATGCCTGAAGAATTGTATTTCAGAAAGGAGTGTGCTTCCCCAGATGCTATGAGCAATGGTACATTGTATAGGTGAGAAGGGAAAATTCTCTTTTGCAAAATCTCTTTTCCTATCAAATTTGCTGTTAAAGAAATGCATACAATTGAGATGGCAATAGTTCTCTGCATCTTCTGGCAAAACAGAGAATTGTTGCTTAGCCTATCCCCCTGCCTCACTAGAACCAGTTAGATACTATAAACATGGCTATATTTAGCATCTTCAGGTCTGCATTGCTATATATTGAATATATATATAGGCCTGTTCTTAAGAATCTTATGTTGTGATGTGAGTTGACAAAGACATTAAGTTAGGAATAAAAGAAGATGCTTTTGAGATAGTCAAGGAAATGTGATGATATTAAGATTTGAAATCAAAGTCTTTTCCATTTCAAATTAATTCTCAAACAGAAGCTTTAGAAATTTAATTTATACTGTGCTACAAGAAAAAATATTCAGAATAATACAACATTAAATTAGATATGCCATAAATGTAACAATTTTCTATGAATACCTCTTATAGTTTCCAATTGTCACTGTGTTCATATGGATGAGCCTTTGGAACAAATGAGCAGGAGAGAGAAGACATCATTGTCTCTGGAAACTGCATCCCATTTCCCTTTTTTGAAAAAATGTAACTTAGGAAAAGAAATGCTCCATTGAAGTATAGCTGATTTTTTTTCTTGTGTATTGGCTTGAGAAATTCAACTCTGTACTATAAGGTAAACTGAACTAATCATCTCTAAATCTAATTAATTAATCAAATAGTTAGGAGGATGTTTAAATGCCTGTTCAGTGACTCAGGAACTGGCCTTTTCGCTCGAAAATATAACACTAGGTGATTTGCACAGTACTATTGCTGCAATAACAGAATTGGCAATACATCCCAGGGAGGTTTAGTCCACCTGGCCAATGTCCTTTTGACTTAAATATTGAGGAACAGGATGTGGATTTTAGTTTTCTTTTGTAATAACAGTGATATTTAATGGGAAATTCAAGCCTTCATAGAAACATTTTTGTGTAACAGCTGGAACAGTTATTTTCTAACTGTTCACAGTACAGAAAAGAGATTTGCTTCCTTGTCATTCTTATCCAGCATTGTACTAAGAAAACCATTGTACTCTGAACTCTTTCTCTCCAAAAGCACTAACTGTCCTTGGCTTTAATTGTACACACTGTTCATGCACATTGTTTTTCTGCTGATTTGGGTGGTGGGAGGGAAACTGAAATAAGTTTGGGGAAACAGATTTTTTCCTTTACAGGATGATGTTAAGTTTTTCTGGATATGATATCTGTTTGCTGTGGTTAGCTATTCTATTTTAAAGCTGATTTGAATTATATTTATTTTATGGTTAGCCTATTTGATAACTTAAAAGCAAAGTTGGCCAACGTTTGCATATGGGATAGAAGATTGCAGTATAGAAGCTGAAAATGGGATGTTATTTATGAGAAACAACAAATATAATTGATCAAGTAATTATTAATTAAGGACTCATTCTAAGCTAGTTGTGGCTCAAACGTGGGAAAAAGAGCGAAGGTACAAGACAATGAGAACTATTCTGTTTAAATGAGCAAATGTAAGCCAACATATACCTTAAAAGTGCTCATCTTTGGCTGGATTTGAATATCTTGGACTGTCGAACAAATTAAATCAGCTTTTGAAAAGAACATATGATAGCAAAGAGGCTAGAATTCTGTAGTAGATTGAAATTATTTCATTTACAGAAGCTTTGAGATAAAGTAAGATGAGGAATCAGTATGTAGATAATTGACAATGTATATGATAGCTTCAAATGCTGATATGGATCTTATAAATTACGTACATAGTAATGATTCTAAAATTTGTTTTTAGTTATAACTGCATACCTGTTCATGTCAACAGTACAAATCAGGGAAGCCAATGAATGCTTTATTAACTATATAAATTGATGGGTGGTCACATTTAAAATAATCTTTCCATAAAATCTATAAATAAATGTTTCAGTGATTGAACATTAGTCACTATCTTTTTACATAGCTAAGTTAATGATAAAGAAATTATGCAGTTCCAAAAAACGTATGTTGTTGCACACAGAAGCGTGAATGGGATCAGTTATCCTCAGTTTAAAAAAGAAAAATAACAATTTTGTAGCTATACATCAAGAATTGGCTTGACTTACAATCATTCATTTAGTGACAGTGTGAAGTTACAACAGCAATGCAAAATGTGACTTATAACAAATCCTCACACTTATAACCATCCCATCATTCCACCAATCACTTGTCCAAAATTTGGGCACTTGGCAACCAGCATGTATTTCTTTATGATGTTTGCAGCATTCCTGGGTCATGTGATTGGCATTTATGACCTTTCCAGCTGGGTTCTGACAAGCAAAGTCAATAGAGAAAGTTAGACTTGCTTAATTAGCATGTGATTCACTTAAAAACTGCAATGATTTATTTAATAAGTGTTGCCAAAAGATAAAATTGGGCATGATTCACTTAACAATTATCTTGCTTAGCAATGGAAATTCTAGTCCCAATTGTGTTCATAAGTTGAGAACAAAATTATGTGGATTCTTCATTTTATAATAGCCAAACACAGGTAATACTAAAAGTTATTAAGGGAGGGTGTATTATTATTCAACTGATTTCAGAGGTTAAAACGAAATAAAAAGTGCAATATGACTGAAAAAAAGTGTTAATATGGTATATCAGTTCCATCAGATTGCAATCAAACTAATTATATATACAGGAGATTCATCTAAATCAATTGGCTTTCAGTTAAGATTAATTTGCTTTCAGCATGACTAGACTGGATTAAACCCAGTATAATGAAGACACTTTGTTAACAGTACAGGGTATCTTTTCAATTCTTTCTGAACATAGATTTAGTTTTAGAATGTAATAGGCTAGCCAGTATGAACTTGTGGCTGCTCAGTTCTAATAAAAGGACCCCATCACCTGGTAAACTTACTGGAGTACAACAGGTGGAGAAGCGAGACAACATAAGGCAGCATTTGAAAGTTCCTCTCTTGCCTGTAGGCAGTACTGATGACATGCATGGTGTTAAGCTTCTACAATATCTCAGGTTCCCTTGTTTCCACAGTAATATTAATGGCATTTGTATTACAGCAGTTCAAAACTAAATAGGTATCTTTACTATTGACTACATTCTATAAATTGTGCACTGTTCTTAAATCAAAATATTTATGTATTGATTTTTTAAAAATGGGATGCGTATTACATATATTAACAAAAATATTTATATAAGTGAAAATGGCATATACAGTAAACAATTATTTGCTGTCAGTAATACATATCTTAGAATTGTATACCAGCATGAGTATTAGAATGGCTCCAGCCCTGTTACCTTTCCGTAAAGCCCTAAAACCTGGCGATGTTCCTGAGCGTGGGGCTGAATGTGTTAAGGGCCCCGTTCTTGGCTATATTGCTAAATGGCTTGCTCCTATATATATATATATATATATATATATATATATATATATATATATATATATTTAATTTGGATGTTTTTGAATTGTGAGCCACCTAGAGTCATGGACTGAGATGGGCAGCCATAGAAATTGAATAATCAATCAAACAAATAAATAAATTGGAACTATAATCCTTTGCCTGGAACTGGCACTTAGACATATTATGTGGTGCCATTCTATTTAGAAAGAAGGAGTTTACTCTTGCATATTGGCTTCAGTTGAGAAAAAAAATATTTCAGTTTCTTTATTAGTTTGCAAAATACACACACACACACACACAAGTCTGCCAACCATCCTATAACAGCTCCATCACCTGAACATATTAACAATAAAACTTGAAGTTCTTATGTTTGTCCCCAGTCTTTTGTCTTGAGTTAGGACAGTTGTGTCCATCTTATAACCAAAATGGCAGAAGACAATTTTCTAGCTCTTCACTACTCTGGATTAAAAAAAAAAGAATTAACAAGTTTTCTGAAAACATAATTTTATATAGAAATGATTTGTTATATTAATATTGATTGTAAATAGTAACAAATATTTCCGTTGCAGCAATTGTAATTATGAATAATAATTTTAATCTGTTGTGTCATTTATGACTTTTTGATCCATGGGAAATGCCTGTTAGATGCACATACAATTGGATTGTGTTATAAATCTTATCAAATATTAGCTAAAAATAGGAGGCAAACCTATATATCTTTTTATCAGCACCTCTAAGGCCCAAGCAACATAATTTAGCAGTGCATGGAATTTTGTGATTTTTCTTTAAAAAAAAAACCCAATAGTTAGTAGGCTTAACTTTCCATTACTAGTTGTTTTTCTTTTAGGATTAGTTACTCAAACTATTTCATCCACTCTTCTGTCCAGTGTAAGGTTAAATATTTTGGAGAGGGAAGGAAACTTCAGGAGAGCAATTTTACAAAAAATAAAATAAAATAAAAATAAAATGATAAAGGATTCTTCCCTTGATCATTTGTGTATGATCTATGTGGTATGTGTGTTTTAACATCTTTTTTTTTCTCTTTTTCAGGAAGAAGAAAATGGAAACAGAACAGGTATGTTGCTGTATTTCTCTGATCATTCATTAGGACAGGTGCTAAACAGAATCTTTAATGTCCATCAAGGTATTGAGGGAGAAAGTGCACACATAGGACAATTCAGTTTAACCTGCTGCTTTTCTTATGCTACTTCTGTTCCTGAAGTCAATTTAAAATTTTTATTATGGAGTTTTGGCAATAGAGTTGGGTTGGTGCTCAGTCCACACCACAACCACTGCAGACTCTCATTGGTTGTTCCCTGTGTCTTACCTTTCCCCTCAGCGCAGGAAAAGCAAGCCTCACTGGCAAGATTCTGTATGGGTGGCTCTACTGACCCTTGCCTTCTTTTAAGGATTACTTCCTTCTCATTAGTTCCCTTTCTTTCCCTATGCTTACCCTATTTCCACATTATTCTTTAATGCGATGCATTGGATGTTTTAATTCACCCATGCATTCTAATTAATTTTTGTTATGTTTGTTTTCCCTCCCTTTCTCCTTCCTGCTGAAGACAAGTTAGGATTGATTTACATCACACTCTTTGTGCTTGAATGAATAAAAACATAAAATCTCTTATGAGTCAGGCTTGACCTCTGGTGATCTCATGGATGCATCTGCATAATTTTATCGGCAACACTACAGAAGTGCTTTGCCATTGCTGCCTCAGGGATGTTTTTGATTTTCCAGTCTAGCTTACCTAAAATTCCCTATAACTTCCATCCACATATTATGCAGGCTCAACCCTGCTTTGCTTTTGAGCCTAGTCAAGACCAGTTAAAATATGCATTAAGCTCTTTCAATTTGCAAAACCATTTTAATGTCACAAATCAAATTCTGATATGCAAAGACCATCATCCTTATAAATGGTCCAATGCAGTGAAAGGTATATTTTTACCTGGAAGGATATATTAGTCTTCTGCAGTAACCTTCAAGGGCCACAAGAAAGCAGGACTGTGTATATACAGAGGATCTCAATCTGGAGCAAGAAACACACATTTTTGGCAAAAAAATCCTTACCACCCTCCACTCAGAACTCTTGTTTTTAATGTGTAGAATGTAAGGAAACTATAAAACGTGATGTCTGATTACCATGTATCAGGGGTATCAGGAGTATCAGGTAGAACAGTGCCAACCGGTGTGATCAGCCGGTGGCAGAGGAGAGCAGCTCCAATGGGTGTGATCATCTGGGCAGTGGAGGGAGTCCCGGAGCTCCTGCTGAGTTGCGTGGGTGACTCAGGGCTCCCAATTGCTGCATGGCACCTCACAGAGACCTGCTGGAAATTAGGAGGAAAGGGCGGCCCAGGGAAAAGGGGGGGGTAAAAAGGGAAGGAGATGTGTGGCATGGGGAAGAACAAGAAGTAAAGAAGGAGAGACGGAGAGATTGTGAGACAGTGAAGAAGAGAGAGAAGCATTGTGAGGGGAAAGAGTCAGCAGAGATGGGGAAAAGTAAATGGAGGAGGAAGAGATGAGGAGAGAAGGGAGAGGGAGTAACCATTTATCAGCTTACCCTGTCACCACCCCGCTGCTGGGTCCCTGTTTAGTTGGGCTGCATGGGAGGCAGTAGGGACCAGATAAAGGGGGGGAGTGAAGTCAATCCAAAGAGAGAGAAAGGGGCAACGCTGACCCAGAGAGAGGGAGAGAATGAAGCTAACCTAGAGAGAGAGCAGTGAGAGAGTGAGCCAGTGACTAGAAGGGGCAACAGACACACCAGGAGGACTGTGGAGGTGAACTGAGCTAGGCAATTAGAGGTGACTGGGCAAATGATCAGAACAAGAGATCCTGAAACACTAGATTAATGACTTTGAGCTGAAAGACCCCAAGGAGAAAGGGACAGAGGGAGACGGAATTTTGCAGTTCTTTTACTCCAGCTGCGAAGGCAGTGAGGCAGATGATCTTCTACAACTGTGGGGGCACAGGGCACTACAGAGTATTTGCACAAAGCCACCCAAACCACAAAACCTGGCCCAGTCAGGAAATCGCAGAGATCAACTAGGTGCCTGGCTATGCTAGCTAGCTCCAGCCAAAGGGGTAGCCAAATACAGCTATGGGTGTCTCCCTTCATGAGTGGAATTTCACCCAAAACCACCTCAGTGACAGGAGGCATGAAAGTACCTCCTTTAGTGAGGGACTCACATACAAAAGGGCCTGCCAAGGACAAAGCAACAAGGGTCCATCAGCAGCCTCCAGAGAATCACAGGAGCACCTAAGCATGGGCTATTAGACCAGATGCTGTGTCCCTCACCACCAAGATCCCTGAACAGCCTCCCCAATGGTGCTGGTACAAGTGGAGGACACTTACACAAGGGGCCTCTTGGACCTGGGTCCGTAAGTGATGTTACTGTACTGGGATATCTATGATAGGCACCTAAAGCATATGCCCATGCAAAAGTTTGGTGATTTGGAGATTTGGGGCATTGGAACTGAGAGACTTCCTTATGACAGGTATCTACCCATCTAGCTAACATTTCCCCCCCCCAATTGTTGGATACTTTAAACCTTTGACACCCTGACTATTCTCTGTACCCGCCCCTTGTACCTAGCCAGGACTCTCTGATGGTAGGGATAAACACTAACTTAGTCTGCTGATTCTCCCAGCAGACAAGTGATAGAGGACATTTATTTTGCACTGCAGACAGTATACCTACACTTGGTACGTAAGCAACAGGCTCACATGGAAGGTGTGGGACAGCTGTGGAAAATAGACCATGTGAGGAGACTACTACAATCAGGAGAGGTGGCATGTCTGTAGGCATCTGTCAGATTGGACTGGGAGCAGTGTGAGCTGTATCTCACCCTTGAATCAGACCCCAGAAGACAGAACGTTGTATTGGAGGCAATTTCAGAGGTGGTCTCCATGATGCTCTTGTGTCAGGATAGAAAGTGGATCTTACCAACTACCTTGTGAGGTTGAAGGACCAGATGTTGTTGGGACAGATGAGCCCGGCCACCCCATTGTACCGCCTGAGATAGCAGAAGGGGCTGAAGGTGAGATTTGCACAGATCGATTCTACCCAAAGAATGCACAGCCTGCCCCAGAATGGCTGGAGAGGGCTAGAGACCAACTTTGGAAGTGGTGACACCTATTTTTGAAGGATGAATTTGATGTGGGGTGCACTAGGAGTACTCAACATTGAATCTATCTACGAGAAGATAAGCCATTCTGAAAGAGGTATTGACAGATTCCTTCAAGTGACATCGATGTAGATGACCTCACAGAGTACCTAGCAGAATTGAAGAGGACCGAGATCATCCGAGAATCTCAGAGCTCCTATGCCTCCCCCATAGTGGTAGCCCAGAAGAAAAATGGGTCCCTGAGAATGTGCATAGGTTACTGTACCCTCAATTGAAGGACCGTTTCAGATCAATACCCTACCCCTTGGATTGAAGATGCCCTACATTACTTATTGGAGGCAAGTGGTTAGTGTGCTTGATCTGAGAAGTGGCTACCATCAAATCCCTATATATGATAGAGACAAAACTGCTTCATCTGCCCTTTGGGATTCTATGAGTTTAATAGATGCCTCAAGGATTATCAGGGGTTCCAGCGAACTTTCAGCAACTCAGTGGGAGACATGAATCTGATAGAGGTGTTAATATATCTAGACAATATCATTGTCTTTGGTAAGATCCTTGAACAACATGAGGAGTGCCTGGAGAAGGTTTTGCCCGGGCTCCATGAAAAAGGGTTGAAGCTATCCCTAGAGAAATGCCAGTTCTACCAACTATGTTACATATCTTGGTCACTTTGTCCCCACGAAGCCTGTGGCCATCACCTCCTGGCCTAGACCTCAAAATGTGGCTGACCTACAATCATTTCTAGGGTTTTGCTATACTATCTAATTGTTCGTTGACAGGTTTGCAAAGACAGCCCGCCCCCTTAATGATCTGTTGAGGATTGAGGAAACAGAGGATGTATCTGACAGTCTGTAAGTCCTGGGAGTCCATTCAAGCAGAGCGGACAGAACAGTGTGAACAGGCTTTCGACCAATTGAAGAGAAACCTGACTGACACTTCCGTCTTGGCTTATGCAGACCCAAATCAACCTACAAACTACATGTTAATGCTAGCTGGGACAGCCTTGGAGGGGTATTATGTTAGGAACATAGTCTATGTCAGCAGAGGCCTTGTCCCAGTTGAGAAGAACTACCCCACCCATAAACTAAAGTTCCTGACATTGAAATGGGCTGGTGGATAAGCTGAAAGATTATTTATATGGGGCAGAGTTCAAGGTCAAGATTGACAACAACCCATTGACATATCTCTTCACAACGTCTAAGTTTGATACCACAGGACAGGTTAGCCTCTTTGTCTGGATTCCATTTCAGCCTAAAACAGCAGCCCGGAGTAGGGAAATGAGATGCAGATGCCTTATCAAGAAGGCCTCATGGCACTAAGGCCACTGGCAAAGACTGGATTAGGTGTTATACAAGCCTTATATTGAGGGATTAAACACTGGGTTAGACGAGCACTGGGAGTGGAGACCATTGGGGTTACAACTGCAAGTGTCCCCAAGTTATACTGCAGTCCCAGGTACATGAGGGGGGCTGCCAATATTAATCAAGAAGAATTTGAGCAGGGATCAGGACAAAGATCTTCTCTGTGAGCTGACCTTGAGGGCTCTGCAGAGTGGTCGTTGGGAGGTCTTGCTGACCGACTTCCTGAAGACAGCCTGGCTGCTGCTTAAAGAATGGGACTGGCTCCAGCTTTGGAGTAGGGTGGTTTATAAGGGAGGTCCCTCCAATGGTCTCAAGGAAAAGTGGCAGCTGTTCCTCCTGGAGAAACATAGAGATGCAGTATTTAACTGCATTACACAATGACCATGGACATTTAGGGCCAGAGAGACCCTTCAAACTATTGAGGGATCCGTTCTGTTGGCTATATATGAAAGCGGAAGTTGAGGGCCACTGTAGGTCCTATATATGCTGCATTCGGCAAAAGGCCCTATCTTCGAGGGCTGCTCCATGGGTCACTAGCTCCAAAGACCCATGGAGTTAGTCTTCTTTGACTTTCTGTATATAGAACCCAATACCAGTAGGCAGGGGAATGTATTAATGGTGACAGACCACTTCACTTGTTATCCACAAACATTCCCAATGAAAGACCAATGGGCAGTCACAGTAACCAAGGTTCTGGTGGAGAAATTTTTTATTCATTATAGGCTGCCCCAGCAAATACACTCTGATCAAGGCAGAGACTTTGAGAGTCAGCTAATCAAACAATTGCTCAACTTGTTGGGCATCTGGAAATCATGCACCATTGCCTATCATCCCCAAGGGGATCTGCAGCCTGAGAAGTTTAACTATACTGTCCTTGATATATTAGGAATACTGACTGCAGAGCAGAAGCAGCACTGAAGTTGAAACATTTCTGTCGTGCAAACATTCAAAAGTACAGAAAATGATACTACTGGATACTCTCCCTACCGGCTGATGGTTGGAAGGGAAGCCCGACTGCCAGTAGACTTAGCATTTGGAGTTTCATTAGTCCAGATATCATTGGTCTCACACTGAAATTTTGTGGACAAGTTGAGAAGGAATCTGAAAACTGTATACAAGAGGGCACAGTCTATCTCAGAGATCTGAGACTGAAGGAACAAAAGGAACCATGACTTGAAAGTGAGAATCTGGGACTTGCAGCTAGGTGATCAAGTGCTACTGAGGAATCTGGACATCCCAGGGAAACATAAATTAGCTGATTGGTGGATCTCCCAACCCTACATTGTCTGTGAGAAACTGGCTAGGCTACAGTGTACAGGATCTGCTCAGAAGGGGCCACTAAGATGTGGTAGCTAAACCATCTCCTACCTCTGAATGAGGCAATACATGTGCCCTAGCAGGATACATTACCACCTGTGGAACTCTGCTCAGAGAGGAGAAATCCAGTGATCCATACACACTGCCTTCTTCTGTGCTGGAAAAAGAGAGGAATCAGAAGGAGAGCTGCATGAATTGGTTATTGCCAGTTGAGTTCTTTGAAGTGGACTCACCCATGTCAGACACCTGAATTTGTGCCCCACATGCAGGAACAGGAGGACATCCTTGGGGAACCAGTAAGGCAGGCCAGTGAGCATTCCATGCAATAGCCAGAACCACAGGAGAAGAGACCACCCCATCAATACCTAAGCCTGCCACACCCCCAGAGAGAGTCCTTTCTACCCTGGCTGAGCCTAGAGAATTGAGACCAAAAAGAGTGATTCATCCCCTGCAAAGATTGACACATGACTCTTTTGGCTATAGGACAGAAGAGGCAGCATTCACTACCAAGGAGACTTCAGAAGTACAATTGCAGCCCATTGAGTCCATGGGGAAAGGCATGCCAGGTCCATCCCCCAATACACCCATAGGCCCATTGATAGGAAATGCTATAGGATTAACATCATCTCACCAGCAAGAGACATATAATGCAATATAGGCTGTTAGTAAACTGCTCTTTGGGGGACCAAAGAAATTTGGGTGGGGGGGAGTATGGGCACGATCAACTGGGCAGTGGAAAAGAGCAGCCCCGATGGTCACAATCAGCTGGGCAGTGGAGAAAGTCCCAGAATTCTGCTGAGTAGCGCGGGCAACCTGGGGCTCTGAATCAGCTCAAGGCACATCACAGAGACCCGCTGGAAATTAGAGAGGAAAGAGCGGCCCAGGGGAAAAGGGGGATAAAAAGCCAAGGAGACACATGGCGAGGGGAAGATCAAAGAAGGGAAGAAGGAGAGATGGAAAGAGAGTTAGACAGAGCAAAGAAGAGAGAGAAGCAGCCTGAGGGAAAAGAGACAGTAAAGATGTGGAAAAGCAAACAGAGGAGGAGGAGGGGAGGAAAAAAGGGAGAGGGGGATAAGTGTTTATTCTGTCACCACCTCACCCCACTGCCTGGTCCCTGTTTCGTGGGGCTGTATGGGAGGCAATAGGGGCAGGATAGAGGGAGGGAGAGAGAGTAAGAGTGAAGTCAATCCAAAGAGAAAGAAAGGGAACAATGCTGAGAGGGCGAGAGTGAGAGCGCAGAGAGAGCTGCGAGAGAGTGAACAATGACCAGAGGGGGTACCAGATACACCAGGAATACTGTGGAGGTGAACTGAGCCAGGCGAGTAAAGGTGACTGGGCGAATGATCAGAACAAGAGATCCTGAGACACTAGATCAGTGACTTTGAGCCAAAAGACCCCAAGTTATAGGGGAGAAAGGGACAAAGGAAGCTGGACTTTGCAGCCCTTTTGGGGATAGCACTACACATATAATATTCTTTTTGTGGATTGCATTTATTTATGTTGCCAAAAAGTGATCCACTGAAAATGGTTAGGTAGTGTTTGACAATATAATTTTTTTCATAGATCAAAACCCGTGGATCTCCTAAACCACCATAAGACAGAAGTCAAAACAATTACAAACACCTTTCTCCATGTTAAAATTATAGTTGAATTTCCATTGCATATGTCTGTGTAAAAAGAAAAAAAATGTGTGGTTTGTTTGGAAGACTTCGAACCAAATATATAATATCATATAATATATATTATATATCTAGATTGATAAACCTTCTTTTCCAAAGTGAATCTAACCTTCCCTAATTTAGGTGCCTTCTAATGTGGACTATAGGTCCAGGATTCTCAGCAATGTTCATACTGGTTGGGAAAATCTGAGAAAGGATTCATTTGATGCAGAGTTTGTAGTTAAATCTGTTAAGTCTTTTAAAAGACTGACAGGAGATCCAGGGGCTGAAGATTGAGGGGCAATCTCAGTATTTATTTAAAGGATCAGTAAGAGGATCAGTGTGAAGTCAGTTAAGTTTTAATTAACCATGTTAGACTTTGTTTGCTTTCCCATTTGAAAGACAGGATGCGATTCCAGTGCCTTGAAGCAGAATTTTAAATTGAGCAGACTTGATGCCATCAGAAATGCATTTTTTCTGTCTTTCATAAAAATATTTTGGCTTTTCTGGATGCTCCCTTTAAGAAATAGGCACTGAGCACTGTTGGAATAGTTAAACCAGGGCAGTGTTGTGGCAGTCATGGAAGACTGCTGTGCATATTTTTGAATTGTACGATGACCATGATAATGTGCCATCATATTGATATCACCTCTTAGTGAACATATAAATAGATTTTCTCCTGGATTATCCACATTAAGTATGGTTATTCAGGTCTTCCACTGATGCTGCAATTAAATCCATCTACTTTGTTGTTATTTGTCCTCTTTTTCTTTCTGTCCATGGATTTTGTAATACCATAAGACTATTTTTCAGGGAATGTTGGAATAGTTTTGTATAAACTTCCCATTTCAACTAATCTCACAGACAGCCTGCCAAACAATAATTCAGGTCTCAGAATTCTGCATGGCTTTATCATAGAACATGCAAATAAATAAGAGAGGTATCAAAACTCCTGGTACTATATATATATATTTAATCATCAACATACAGCTCCTCCGCGGAACCGGCTGGAACCCATGGACACCATCTTTGTCAAAAATGTAAAGGAAGATGGGCCAGCACACCAGGCTGGTCTCCAGACAGGTAAGACATGAATTTCATTATTACAGCTGTATGCCAGTATTCTAATGACATGATCAACCCCTTTCCTCTCTTCCCTGTCAGTAACTAACTAACAGTACATGGGGATGGTTGGATCTGTGTTGAAACAACCAGTTTTCCTAGCTGTTACCTCCTACACCACGTCCTTTTCTTTTTTCTCAAACTGAAGCAGAAAGAAAAAGAAAAATTCCACATGCTATTGAAAATGTTCAAGCGTTTCGCCCCCACTTTTCTATTTCTCTTCCTGAAGAGTAAAAACCAAACCAGATATAGACGTGGAATATCTGATGTGATTCCTTTTCCCTGGATATCTCGATTTTGTAAGAGTTAAGGATTAGTTAACCTCACATCAGCAGTTCCCAAGATACTTGGGACAGTAGAAGAAGTTACCATATTTTCCGGCGTATAAGACGACTTTCTAAACCATCAAAATCTTCTCAAAAGTCGGGGGTCGTCTTATAACTCCCAGTCGTCTTATATGCTGGAAAATACCGTATTTTCCGGCATATAAGACAACTTTCTAAACCATGAAAATCTTCTCAAAAGTTGGGGGTCATCTTATATGCCCAGTCGTCTTATACGCTGGAAAATACGGTAAATCTTATGCATGGCTATATTTACCTCTTGGGAAGTTAACTAATGCACTAGGATCCTCTTATTGACCCACTTAAGAATTTTGTATAACATGACATTATGTAGAAGTTTGAAGAAACAATTCTCATTTGGTTTTTTTCCTCCCGTTTTTTCATGCTGGGCCATTTACGGGTCTTTGTATTAGTAAGCTAAAATGAGCACTGAGCAGATATGGAAATTGCTCCATGTTATTGCTATATACACATCTCTCCCAATTTTGGTTTTACTGTATACTGGAGTAGCCTCAGAAACCTGGACATAACTCTGATGCTATTGTGAATGTAATTATTTTGTTGGGCAAGAGAATTCAAAGGGAATATGCATCCATTTATGCACGTTACAGATAATTCCCAGTTCACATAACTGGATTACCCCAGCTTCTCTTTTTGCTTGAGAGAGAAAAGTTTGGTACTTTAAAACTCAAGGAGAAGCTGTGAAGTAAATCTGAGAAAAAACTTTCCATTGCCTCTGATTAATGTTTCAGATGCCAGGAAATAATTAAAGAAGCAGTGGATATTTAATTTAAGAGGATTATATCTCTGTAAAAGATAAAAATACCCTGGCTGGAAAGTATGCTAGATTTTGTTAATTTTTGTTTTTAATTTTGTGATGGAGCATAAAAACATTGTTCTCTATGATTCTTTATTTCTCTACACAAATCAGGAAATAGTGTGGAATCTCAGCTTTCTTACCCATCTATCAGGTTCTGTTTGAAGATACCAGCTTTTTCCAGAATAAGCTTATAGTCTTCAGTATTAATTAAAGCTCCTGAACAGTTTCCATTTTAAATGAGACTTTAGACAAAAAAGAAACCATTTATAGCTGATCTTCTCTATAGGTTTATTATCATTGTATGAGGAACTGCAGAGTTACCATCCTGAGGCACAGCAATCTCTCTTGCACTCATATTCTTTTAGAAAGAGGTGATTCCACATTTACAAATTTGAATTGAATGTAACCTGTTTTCTATTTATAAATTGCCTCCATCAATGTAATGGAAAAACTGATCAATATTCCATCTGTTCAAGTTTTAACAATGTATTTAAAAATTGGCTGGAATGATTTCCTATATCAATGATATGTTTTTGTTATTTCCTTCTTTTTTCTATTTTCTGTTTGGTTTGTGTTTTTTTACCTTTTAATTTTTGTTCTTCTTAGAAATTAAAATAATAACATTTTTTTAAAAACAATTACTTTATTCAAAAAAGCATCTGTTGTATTTTCAAATTATGCTATTTTTGAAGTGCTACTTTTCCTACTGCAGATCATCTAAATTCAAAGTTTTTTTTAAAATAGTTTGTACCTTGCTCCCTTCTTTGCCATCTTTGTGAATATTAATATTAATTGTAATATTAATATTTTAATGTTTTATCTTGTTTATACAGTTATTCGCCAACTAGAGTTGCCGCTAGACAAGATGGGTGGCATATAAGTTAAATGAATGAATGAATAAATAATAAAAATGGTTTGGCAAAAATATGCTTTCTCTTCTCTCTTCTTTGCCTTCAGTGCAAGATACAATGGATGAAAAAAGGTTATGCTTTCTCAGTTTCCACTCTTTTTTGCAGGAGACCGTTTGGTTAAAGTGAATGGTGAAAGCATCATTGGGAAAACTTATTCACAGGTTATCAGCCTCATACAGAACTGGTGAGTTTCCACCATCCTTCCTCTTACAGATCAGTTATAGATCCCAGTACCATCCTGTGAACTTCATAGCATTGGAAGCAAGGAACAGATATAACTGATTCCATCAATTAGATGGGTGAAACCACATGGGAAAAAAACCACTTGTTAGGCCTAAGATCATAGTCTTTGTTGCCGCCATTTTCTTTCTTTATTCTCCTTATCTCAAATGCTGTCAGAGGATTGTAAGCTTTCGTACCTGGCCTGCAAATATTCTCATGATTGCCAGATTGTAGCAAAGCATGTTGACCTTAAAGCAGGATTTCCAAAGTGAGGACTAAGTCTCTTGGAGAGGTTGTGAGCAGAGTTTGTGCGAGTTATGAAGTACCTCTCGGTGCATTGTTACGATATATCAGTGTTTTCCCAAGTTTCACTGTATTGTTTTTATGGTTTATTTGTGTTCATTTATTTGTCTGCGTTTTTAGGGGAAGTGTATACATTAAGATTACACTAAGAGAGATTTGATGGCAAAAGGTTTAGGGACCCCTGCCTTAGAAAATGGTAGCTAGGGCTTGCAGAAGAAGATAAAAAAGCTTCTTAGTCATCTTCTCCATTGTCTTCTCTGGCAGTGTAATTTAATTGCTTTGGAGAAAAGTACAGTCCTTTCTTTTACTCAAAACTAAAATGAACTGCTTGCTAAATATGGATCCAGGTTGATTCCACTTCACATTATTTAGAATCTGCTGGCTGCATCCTTTTGGTTTCCTCATCTTACTTCCCCACATCCTCCAAATGTTTTTATCACATGAGATAAAATGACTGATTTCCCCACATAATTATTGATTGTCTACTAATTTCACAAGTAACTGTTAAATTGGATTTGCTAAACTAACTGTTTATTTTGGGCTGGATTTGAGGGAGAGAACTAATACAATACCTATTTTGTTAGTCACAAATTTGGCTTCTCTTTTCACATTCTCCTCATTGGACATGTCAATTATTCACTGTACTGTCATTTGTGTGACTTTAAAAATTTGGTATTTTTTTCATTCCCCTTTTCTGCTGTTAAAGATTTGGATGGTAGGGAACAAGGACATTCCCCATGGCAGGCAATCTGTTTTCTTTACAAGAACTCTAAAAATAGTTATGGAGTCAAATTAAACTTCCTGACACAGTCTAGCCCAATGGTTCTCAACCTGTGGGTCGGGACCCCATTTGGAGTCGAACGACCATTTCACGGGGTTCGCCAAACAATGCAATCCGCAATTTTTTTCCCCTTTTCCTTATCTGTGCTACTCCCTTTTATTCTATTGGCTTTTGAAAGCCAATAGAATAGACTCTCTTGAATAGAGTCTAATTCTATTGGCTTTCAAAAGCCAATAGGAATTGTCCAGGCTGTCTCTGCCCTGCTGAGGTGGCCAAAAGTCCCATTCTGCAAACGGTGCTGCACCAGTTGAGTAGTCCTCGATTCACGACCGATTGAGTAGTCCTCGACTTACGACCGGTTGGGGGTCGCGGCATTAAAAAGGCTGAGAACCACTGGTCTAGTCTGTCTATTGAATGAGCTTATAAATCATCCTTTAATCTGTTTCTGGTAATAATGATAGTAATAATGATAGTTATTTGACACATTTTATTTATTCATTATTTCTTAGTTTTTTATCTTGCTGTTATGTTCACCACCTTGAATTATTTATAAAACAATATCTAATACTTCTCCTCCTGTTTTCATCAGAACAGCAACTCTGTGAGGTAGGTTGGGCCAAGAGAGTGACTGAACCAGTGACTCAGCTGGCTTTCATGCTTAAGGTGGAACTAGAACTCACAGTCTTCAGGTTTCTAGACTTGTGCCTTAACACACCAAATTGGCTTTTCTCCAAATCCGACAGATTCAGAATTTAATCACAAAAGATAATACCATCATGAAAATTGGATGATTTCTCCAAAATGTTCAGGCAATTTCTCAACAGCAGGTTTCCCCCTAGTGGTTGTATAAGCACACTTCTGAAAAATTTTCCACAGAAGAGTTTGCTCAAGATACCATTGATGTTTGATGCAAATCATGACATGAAAATAGCCAAATAAAATTTTGTGGTGTCATGATATACTCTCCCTGACCATTGTACCCTGATGTAGTAAGCAAAAATACAATTTAATATAGTTCTGTTGCCATATGTCTCCCATTATACCACTTCCCACAGATGTCCATGCAGCTATTGGAATGCAATTGAACTGAATTGAATGAAAATGTGGAAAGTCAAGAGGGCTATATATTACCAGACATATTTTCACACTGAAAGTCAGAATGATCATACATACTTTATATGGCAATGGCAATTTTTTGGGAAACCTTTTTTCCTTTTATGAATTTTAAAACCCATTGTTTCATCAGACTGTTTGAAAACTATAGAGAAATATAAGATCTTATACAGAATATAGAATTCTAAACGAACATTGCTGAAGTCAGTTTGGTTATCTGTTTATTGAACAAAGTATTGAGCTTCAGAATTTATGCACAGATCCTTACAAACAGAGTAAAATGTTAGAACTTGATTCAATGTTTGACTAAAGATCAAGAGTGAGAATGGAATCCATACATATTTACAGATACGTCAGACACTATAAAATCCTTTCTTGACTATCCACTCATTGTATCCATTGTAGAGTCTTGTATTTTCATTATTCAAAAGGTAGATAGTCTAGAACAGGCATGTTAAACTTGTGATGTCACATGACATCGTGCGACATATCGCGACTTTTTCCCCATTGCTGCCAATGGGGTGGGCACGGTTTCAGTATGATGCATCCGGCCCATGGGCCGGCAGTTTGACATACCTGGTCTAGAACAAAAACAGTAACAATGTGGAACTTTCGAATCGAAACAGACATCTGGCCCACAGCACGCCTGACATCACTATTGTAGAAAAGAAAAAAAATCTGGTTAATTGATATTGTAATACCAAGTATTGTACAAATTGAAAAGAAACAGCTAGAAAAAAATCCCAAAATATCATGATTTGCAAATTGAAGTTGAGTGATTGTGGAGGAAAAAAATCAAAAGTTTTACCAATAATAATAGAAGCCCTTGGAACAATACCCAAAGGGCTGCCTAGATGGAAATTTTGAACTTATTACACCTGAATATTCTGACATTACAAAAAACCATCTTTCTCAGAACTGCCTATATATTCAGATGTTACCTTAATTGCTCTTAGGTCCTTGGTTAGGATTTGAACTGTAAAGTTTTTACTAGTCCCAGCCTGTGAATCAAATTGAAGATTAAATCTATAACAACAACATTAAGAATATGAATAAGCAATGGAATTTTAAAAAAAGAAATTGGACCTATTTCTTTGCATCTATTGACTTCATCATGCCTTGACTCCTGGACTCAGTGCTGTCTTTCTCATGCTTTCAACCTATGGACATGTATTGACTTTGTTGTGCCATGATCCCATTGACTCTATACAGACTTCCGCATGTCTTGGACTTGTTATGGTCAGTGAGGAACAAGTTGTCTTTGGTAAGGGAAGGAGATCTAAAAAGAGAAGCCATCTTGTGATTGGTGACTCAACTGTGGCTATTTAGGAAAGGATGTGGAGGTTCTGAAAGAGGTGAGGAGTCTGCCTGGTGCTACTGCCAGCAGAAAAAAGAGGTGCGTTGTAAAGATTGTCAAGAATGCTAGTAAGAATTGTAGAGTCTTGCATTTTCATTGTTTAAAATATAGATAGTCCATAATAATAATACTTAGCACATTAATAATACATTTGGAACTTTAAAAAAAGGAACTGAAGGCTAGATTTTGGCTGCTCGAATCAAGCAATTCTAATGAATGCAACCAAGGCCAGAATTGAAAAACCATCAAAGTGCAGATTGTGGAAAGAAGCAAAAGAAACAATAACCATACACTCAGCTAATTCAAAAAAATTGCACAAACTGATAATAAATAATGACATAACACAGTTTACAAATTAATTCACTGGAACATTTTTAAAAATCATCATTGCCAGTAACAAAAAATCAGTGGAAATATACAGTTGAAAAAGTAGTTGAAAATGTGCAGGTTAAAATATTGAGGAATTTCTGAATACAAAGGGATAAAATCTTGTAATACTCTAGAGGATTTAACTGTATTTGAAAAGAAAACAGTGTGAATAATTAATGTGGATATTACCAAGGAGGAGAAGACAAAAAATTGGTGAAGATCTCGAAGTATCATGATTTGAAAATTGAAGTTGAAAGATTATGGCATAAACTGGCCATAGCAGTTCCAATGGTTATCAGCATCATATAATGCTATACCAAAAAATCTTGGACAGCATTTAAAAGTCCATCTTTCAATTACAAAAGCTATACTGCTTGGTCCACATATATGCTATGCCAATACATTATGACATCTAAAGGTTTTTGGGAAGAACTCAGTGGATATTGAGTTCAGTGGCTGCTAAGGGGAATGTGATGGCTCCTTTGGACACGGGCATGGATTTGAGGAAGAGCGGGCTCCAGGGACATCAGGGAGGGACAGTAGGGAGCATCGGGGGACCTGGAAGGCTCTGCGTCAGGAGTGGATGGTCAAGGCAAAGTGGTACCTGGAACATCAAGGGGATCTGAGAGTGAGTTACTGGACAAACAGCCGGCTGCACAGGCAGAAGGAGAGGCTTGGCTGCAGCCAGTTAGCACAATCAACTGGCCACACAGTTTGGAGAAGAAATGCAGCTGCAACTGGCCAGTGGCGAAGAGGAAGAGTTGCTTCTCCAGCAGAACCTAGGTCGTGCAGAGCCGAGTAGAGGGAGGTTGGCAAGTCTACTTATGAGGTTGGCGAGTCTACTTTGAGGAGGTTGGCGAGTCTACTTATGAGGAGACAGCCACATCCCTCCAAATGAGGCAGACCGGTCAACACCTATTTAGCTCAGGGTTTAGAGAGTAAAGATTCTGACACAAGGTTACAACACAGTCTGTAATTTGTGCATGCTCTTAACTTCTTTCAGTCTGTTGACTTCATCCTGACTTCACTCCTTAATGCT